TAATCCAGTCATGACTAACCTGGTTGTTCCGCTGTCCCTCTTTGTTAATCCAGTCATGACTAACCTGGTTGTTCCACTATCCCTTTTCATTAATCCAGTCATCACTAATCTGGTTGTCCATCTATACATCTTTGTTAATCCAAACATCACTAATCAGGTTATTTAACAATCCCTCTTTGTTAAACCAGCCATCAGTCATCTGGTTGTTCCACTATCCCTTTTCATTAATCCAACCATGACTAATCTAGTTGTTCCACAATCCCTCTTTGTTAATCCAGTCATCACTAATCTGGTTGTTCCGCTATCCCTCTTTGTTAATCCAGTCATCACTAATCTGGTTGTTCCACAATCCCTCTTTGTTAATCCAGTCATCACTAATCTGGTTGTTCCACAATCCCTCTTTGTTAATCCAGTCATGACTAACCTGGTTGTTCCACAATCCCTCTTTGTTAATCCAGGCATCACTAATCTGTTTGTTCCACAATCCCTCTTTGTTAATCCAGTCATGACTAACCTGTTTGTTCCACAATCCCTCTTTGTTAATCCAGTCATGACTAACCTGGTTGTTCCACAATCCCTCTTTGTTAATCCACTCATGACTAATCTAGTTGTTCCACAATCCCTCTTTGTTAATCCAGTCATCACTAATCTGGTTGTTCTGCTATCCCTCTTTGTTAATCCAGTCATCACTAATCTGGTTGTTCTGCTATCCCTCTTTGTTAATCCAGTCATCACTAATCTGGTTATTCCACAATCCCTCTTTGTTAATCCAGTCATCACTAATCTGGTTGTTCCACAATCCCTCTTTGTTAATCCAGTCATGACTATCCTTGTTGTTCCACAATCCCTCTTTGTTAATCCAGGCATCACTAATCTGTTTGTTCCACAATCCATCTTTGTTTATCCAGTCATTACTAACCTGGTTGTTCCACAATCCCTCTTTGTTAATCCAGTCATGACTAATCTGGTTGTTCCACAATCCATCTTTGTTAATTCAACCATCACTAATCTGTTTGTTCCACAATCCCTCTCTGTTAATCCGGCCATCACTAATCTGGTTGTTCCACAATCCATCTTTGTTAATCCAGTCATGACTAACCTGGTTGTTCCACAATTCCTCTTTGTTAATCCAGTCATTACTGATCTGGATGTTCCACAATCCCTCTTTGTTACTCCAGCCATGAATAATCTGGTTGTTCCACAATCCCTCTTTGTTAATCCAGTCATTACTAATATGGTTGTCCTACTTTGCCCTTTCACTTTGTCCAGTGTTTGGTGGATGGGAGTTTATATATATTCTCTTGACAGGACAGAGACCTTAAGATACTGGCACCTCTAAGCTATGTGAAAATTTACAAGACCTTTTGACTTACATATCCATATGTGTACAACATATCATTTAGCCAACTGTATGCAGTAATTCTGTTGTGAAATCTGTTCAGAACCAGAACTTTCAATTCATATCCTGATAGCTTTACATAGTTACTTTGACAGAAATTTTCAAGAAAGCTTATTGAAAACCAAATCAGATTCTGTACCTGCAGGAAAAATTTGTTAGTACCATATTTTCCGGGATATAAACGGCACCCAAGTATAAGCCTCAGGGCTGGTTTTTAACTATTTTTTCGATTTGATCTACATGTAAAATGCACTGGGTTATAAGTTGCACCTTTTCTTATGATTTGGTAACTGTTATGTTGACCAAAGTTTTTTGACATAACAGACAGTGGAAGGCAAATATCAAGATTGTCAGTGAAAGATTTATTACAAGTTTGCACATGAATTATACACAGATAATCCTTTATTTTATTGATGTAGAATAGCAATTATCAAACTCTTGGTAGCCTCCAAAGGTTGTCTTTACACAGATATAGGGTCTGATGTTTAGTACAGACTACTTAACATTATCTCCATCGGTGTCTATAATGTTAAATATGCTGCCGCACACCTGACCGCAGAGGAAAAAGGTCGCAGCTTATAACCCGGAAAATACAGTAATCAAAGTGCAGAATGATCATGATGAATTGAAACTGCATCAACAACTGGTTGTTCACATTACATTGAAATGTCATTTGGATAAAATTTGTAGGATAATGTAATAAAAATGATCTTTTAATTCTCTCAATGATGAAAATTAATGTTCTGTATACGATATATATATTTCGTTTCTCTGTGAATCATGTTGTTTTAGACTTCGGGTGTTAAAAATCAGCATAATTCTACATCGAATTAAAGCTGCTTTTAGAGTCATTTGTGTTATGAGTATGTGACCGTATTAATTCTGAACATGTCTCGTCTTTCAGGTAAATAAGCTATAATATACAACTTTTGACGAGCAATTTTCTTTTAAGTTGACTGTATATTTTGGGTAAGCCATGGTTATTTGTTTTTCAATTCCCAAGGAAAGTATTGAACTTAAATAGCTTCTGTTACACCTGTACAGGTGTAAACATCACATTTTGACATTATAGTAAAAATTATATTTGAGTATAATCCTTTCAGCATGAAATGACTGAGATAATATCACCATTAAAATATGTACATTTACATCAGCTTGTGTAAAGCTTACTCATAAATGTTGTTGTTGAATAGAATTACATCCACAATACAAACAATTTCATGGTCCACCCTTTAACTTAAAACTTGAATTTCCATGTTGGTCATTGCATTTACTGAGTAAATTCTGTATGATGTTTGTTTCACCATTTGTTACTAGTTTGATCATCATTTATGCTTGAGAAAAACAAATTGTTTTAAGACTGACAAACATCTGCATGCTACCTTAATGAATATATTTCTTTAAATTAGTAAAGGAAGGCAATCTTATAACATATTTTCAGAAAGAAACCTTTTTAGCCATAGGATGTTTGTATTTAATCTACCACAGCTAAAATGTGCCATAATGATCCTGTTGACATGTGACTTCACTTGATATGTTGATATGTCGTGTTTCATTTTAATGATATTATGTAAATAGTTCTGTCTATATTTGGATCGCAAGGTATATAAATATTCAGATGATTGTCAAACAATGTTGTCAGTAAGCATTTACCTGCATTTACCACAGGCTGTCCACTAGTGTTTATATATAACCTAAGGGGCTTCTTCTCTCCCTTTCCTCTTGTGCAGTGTGTGTGAAATTTCCAATTTTCCTTGTTAATTTTCCATGCAAATTTTATTACAATCTTGATTACAGGAGAAAATGAAATAGAATTTGACTTATTGTATATAAAGGATTTTCTGTATCACTGGATCAAATAGTATATTCTATATCATAGCTTGCAACAGAATGAAAAAAAAATCATCTTGTCTTTTCTCATAGTTATATCCTTGTATTCTCATTTGTAAACTTTTGATGATAGAAGTTCATTGGAGTGAAAACTAGTCATTTATCACATGAATGGATTTTAGACCAACACAGCCAGGTTGTAGGGTTGAAATGATTTTTCATTTGTGTTTTCCTTTCAGTGGTATAAATATTCATTGCTGTCAGTATCTCTCTGAAAGTGTTAACACCTTAATTTCCTCTGGCCTGGCCTCTCTGATACACAACTTAATTGACACCTGAAATTTACTAACACTTGGCTTTACTGACACCTGACACTACTGCCAAAAGCCTTTAACTAACACATGTCTTAACCAACACCAGACTTTAATGATATCAGACTTTACTGACACTTGATTTTACTGATATCGGACTTTATTGACATCTGACTTTACTGATATCTGATTTTACTGACATCTGACTTTGCTGACATCTGACTTTAATGATATCTGACTTTACTGACATCTGACTTTACTGACATCTGACTTTATTGACATCTGACTTTACTGACATCTGACTTTACTGACATCTGACTTTAATGATATCTGACTTTACTGACATCTGACTTTACTGACATCTGACTTTATTGACATCTGACTTTAATGATATCTGACTTTACTGACATCTGACTTTACTGACATCTGACTTTACTGACATCTGACTGACATCTGACTTTACTGACATCTGACTTTATTGACATCTGACTTTAATGATATCTGATTTTACTGACATCTGACTTTGCTGACATCTGACTTTAATGATATTTGATTTTACTGACATCTGACTTTACTGACATCTGACTTTAATGATATCTGACTTTACAAGTTGCTGATTTTACTGATATGTAACTCACACATGACCTTGTCAACTCCATACTTCATTGACACATGACCTTGTCAACATCTTACTTCAATGACACAACTTTATTTACATCACACTTCATTGACACATGACTTTATTTACACCACATTTCATTGACACATAGATATATTTACACCATACTTCATTGACACATAGCTTTATTTACACCATACTTCTTTGACACATAGCTTTATTTATGCCATACTTCATTGACACATGACTTTATTTACACCATACTTCATTGACACATGACTTTATTTACACCATACTTCTTTGACACATAGCTTTATTTACACCATACTTCATTGACACATGACTTTATTTACACCATACTTCATTGACACATGACTTTATTTACACCATACTTCATTGACACATTACTTTATTTACACCATGCTTCATTGACATATGACTTTATTTACACCATACTTCTTTGACACATTGCTTTATTTACACCATACTTCATTGACACATGACTTTATTTACACCATACTTCATTGAAACATGACTTTATTTACACCATACTTCTTTGACACATAGCTTTATTTATGCCATACTTCATTGACACATGACTTTATTTACACCATACTTCTTTGACACATAGCTTTATTTATGCCATACTTCATTAATGTATCTTGATGTCTGTGAATACAGACTTTACAGTATATAGATAACATATCACCTTTAATTTCCAACTGATTTGTGTACATTTAATTTTTGGTAGCTACTTTGTAAAAAGTCTATTGCTTGGTCTCGGTGATAGATTAATGATGATTGCTTGGTGAGCGTTACCCTTGTACAATTTCTTTGGTAGGATTGAGCCCCTACTAAGTAGAATAAAAGAGGACCCGACTACTGTGCTCTGCCCAGAGATAGACCTGATTGACAAGGATACACTCCAGTATGGAGGCACAGGCAGTTATTCCGTGGGTGGCTTCTGGTGGAGCCTCCACTTCTCATGGCGTCCAATTCCTCAACATGAAAGGGACCGTCGCAAGTCAGACATAGACCCGATTAGGTACATTTACCCTGCTAGGAGCTGCTGTACCATCATTATTAACGGAACATTTCATTTAGCTTTCAGATCGAGTTTGTGCTGATTTCTCTGAAGCTGTCGGGTGTTGGTAGAAAATGTAGATGACTTACTGTCATAAAATTTTGATGAAAATTTACAGTCTGTGCAGTGAGTTTATCCCAGAAAATATTCTAAATTGGAGGTGTTTCAATATAAAGGATTTTCTTGTCATGTTTGAAAGATTTCTATCTCATTGAATATTAGAGATTGGTTCACCACTGCCTCAATCTGTAGATTTTTTTCAGAATTTGTAGTAAGGTTTTAAGGTTCTTTGACATATTTATGACCTCCACCTTGACCTCTTTTGACCTCTAGGATTGAGCCGCTGCTGGCCCGAATCAAGGCTAATCCACAGGCAGTTTTGTGTCCAATAGTGGATGCTATTGATGCTGATACCCTTGAGTACTCCGGTAACGGAGGTTACCAAGTTGGGGGGTTCACTTGGAGCATGCATTTTACGTGGAGGAATGTTCCGGAGCGGGACACAGTCTCCCGGAAATATACAGATCCTGTGGGGTACGCTTTTCAAAAGAGCAATGATATTGATTTAGCTCTTCATGATTTGATTTGGCATGATAAAGGAAATATTTGATAACATTTGTTAGCTACATAAAAACACAGTGTTATGACATGCTGTGTAAACAGTCCCTCCACTTTAGAAAAAAATGATTGATCCTGTTATGGCAATGACTATTGATGAGGATGATAGCCTGGAAATATAATACAGCTACTGAGTATATGTAATTAGTATGTTGATTTGAATTGAAATGCTATCTTGAGATTAGCAGTTTGGACTGAAATAGATACAGTCAAACTTCAGTGTCTCAAACTCCTATCATTCAAAAACCCAGTTTAATTCGAAGCATTTCGTTGTTCCCTTCCAAACTTCACACCAACCCTTCAAACTCAAGTAAATCCAATACTCTGCTATCCTGAAGTTTTCACAAGGTTCCAAGGACTTCAAGTAAATGAGGTTTGACTGTGTTTATGTCTTGTCATTTATTATCAAAATATTTATATCAAGGTAAACACTTTGGACTTAAAAACAAGATTTGTGATTAAAACAAAAAAGAACAACATTTTTAGGTAGTTGATTTTGGATAAAATTTGCTATCACAAGATTAGTAATTCTGACAGACATTTTGGACTAAATAGCTATCATAGTGATATTTAGGACAAGAAAGTTTGTATGATTTAACATAAATGATTAGGTAAACTACCTCACTTAATAATTTCTTATACAGCTCACTGGAAATCCTACCTATAATCATGCGTTCAAATGAATATGCTAGGCTTAAGGCAGGTAATTGTTTTGGTATACATTGGGTCAAATTTAGGCTTTTATCCCGGCTAGAGATCCCAAATCTTTGCATATTTCCAAAGTTAAAACAAAGTCAAATGACATTTTTTCTTGATATGTTTAAATTTATGGTTATAATCATTATTTGGCCCAGAAGCATGACTGTTTGACGTTTGGCTCACCTCTGCTTTATATAGATTTAGTGCGTAGTAGGTTCAGGACGATCCTGAATCATATTGACGGTGCATCAGTGAGTTGCTACATACTAGAATTGGCATGATTACTATATTCTTTCCAGCATAAAAAAACATAGATCTTGTATATTAAGATCATATGGGTTTTTAAAGATATATAAGGGTTATATTGGGGGGTTAAAGCTGTTGATCTTAAGGATGTGACTGACTTTGTCACTTATTTACAGCTTTTTTTTAGTTTGTATAGTTTTAACATTTGACATGGTCCCTTTATAGTTAGTGCCTTTGTCATTTTATCTGCACCCTTGAAATTACAGAAGTTGCAATTATTTACAATTACTGCCCCACTGGATAAAGTCATAGCGCCCATGAAGTAATTTTCTTTGTCTACAGTACATGCAGTGATGATGAATGATTATAACCTCCTGAATTTCAAAGATGTTTTTTCTCAGATTGCTTCTTGTGAAACTCTAAAATGTTATTTGGTATTTTGGCTTTTGATAGTTAACAAATATTTGTCGTGATGGACATTTGCATTTACTTGACTATTTGTACAACTGTATTATATACTATGTAATAATATCTTTAGTGTAATTGTAGCCATGTGTAACGTTTAATTATATCATGATTTTGATGTGTATGTAGTTTGAAAAAAGATAATTTCATTTGTAAAACTTCCTTACTTTTTAAAATTGCAAAATATAAGCTATCATAAAGGTTATATTGAGGACAATCTTGAGAGAACATTCTGACAGATCGTTGAGTAGAATAGCGTTCTGGTGAAACAAAACATTTCATTTTTATTAAGGCCAAGAGGAGAAAATGTTTGCTTACAGTAAAACCTTTACTACTTCAGCTTGGATTGTTAATTAGTGCAGCTGTGTACAATGGATTTTATCATACACAATTCAGTAATGATATATATGTATTACAGATCCCCTACAATGGCAGGTGGACTGTTTGCAGCTGACCGAGACTTTTTCTTCAAGGTCGGAGCTTACGACAATGGCATGGATGTATGGGGAGGAGAAAATCTTGAGATATCTTTCAGGGTAGGTCAGAGGTCATGATTATTATTTTCACAAAACGTTTTTTTTACAACTAGTTTTGATGTGAAAATCAGAAAGGATTGTGATACATTTACTAGTAATTAGCCACTATAGAATGTTGGTTAACAATATGGACAAAATAGACTGTAGTTAAAGATAACTGGTGTTGATTTAAGACCTGTTATATTTATTTTTTATCAATATTTATCTTTATCTATTGTTATTTACCTTATTTTATCTGAACAGGTGTGGATGTGTGGAGGCAAATTAGAATTCATACCTTGTTCTAGAGTTGGCCATATTTTTCGTTCCAGTCATCCCTATACTTTCCCAGGTAACTATGTCATATCATGAAGCCATTTACCAGAGGTCATGAAGTAAAACTTACTGAGGACTTTTAAATTGAGAGCCATAATTAAAAACCTGAAAGTCTTGAATCTGGATTGGGCTGAGTTCGGATTTAAGAATCCCTTTACAAATTTCTGATGCAAATCAGACTGTAAGCATTCTGGTGTCCATGCATAATGTGAAGTAACCCCTCCCCCTACGTATCAAACTATAAAACTCTCATGTTAGCACTGTATCCACATTTTGCTATATTTATCCTGTAAAAAGTCAAATTGGCCAACACATTTATTTCTTACTGAAGATCTGGGTGAAGGCTTATTACATGACAATAATTAACACTAAGCATCAGAAATAGTACTGAATATTAATAGGCTTATTGCAGGGCATGGCCTTGTGTCCCTATGAAAATAGTACTGAATATTAATAGGCTTATTGCAGGGCATGGCCTTGTGTCCCTATGAAAATAGTACTGAATATTAATAGGCTTATTGCAGGGCATGGCCTTGTGTCCCTATAAAAATAGTTATTGCAGGGCATGGCCTTGTGTCCCTAAAAATAGTAGTAATATAAAAATAGGCTTATTGCAGGGCATGGCCTTGTGTCCCTATGAAAATAGTACTGAATATTAATAGGCTTATTGCAGGGCATGGCCTTGTGTCCCTATAAAAATAGTACTGAATATTGATAGGCTTATTGCAGGGCATGGCCTTGTGTCCCTATAAAAATAGTACTGAATATTAATAGGCTTATTGCAGGGCATGGCCTTGTGTCCCTATAAAAATAGTACTGAATAGTAATAGGCTTATTGCAGGGCATGGCCTTGTGTCCCTATAAAAATAGTACTGAATATTAATAGGCTTATTGCAGGGCATGGCCTTGTGTCCCTATAAAAATAGTACTGAATAGTAATAGGCTTATTGCAGGGCATGGCCTTGTGTCCCTATAAAAATAGTACTGAATATTAATAGGCTTATTGCAGGGCATGGCCTTGTGTCCCTATAAATACATTTTCCTTTTGTTATTAATAAAGGTGATTTTATAATTACTTTTAAATATGTACATAGAACTGGAATAGAAATACTGGTAAAACACTACACTTAATTAATATATATTGTTATATGGGATAAAGATGGAATGTTTTGATCTGTCTGTAAGATTTCCTTCCATGATAAAAATCTAATGTTTCTTTTTCAGGGAACAAGGACACACATGGTATAAATTCAATGAGACTTGCAGAAGTGTGGATGGACGAATACAAACGTCTGTTTTACAGTCATAGGCGGGACCTGCTGGTCAGTACTAAAAAGTTCCAACTTTCAGTTTGATGGGGATTAGTATATATTTTGTGTAATGATAAAATGTATTCACTTTTCTATATTTTCTAATTAATTAAAAAAATCTGTCCGATATTGGCAAAGGAAGTAAGCTTGAATGACTGATTTTATACATTTTAACAGCTAATAAGATAAATTTAATGGATGATAATGTCATTCTTAATGGGTTGTAATATCATTCTTCATGGGTGATAATATCACTTTTAATCATAATGTAATCTTAATTAAAATTTCAGGGACAAGACTACGGGGATATATCAGAAAGGAAGGCTCTCCGTGAGAAGCTCAAGTGTAAAAGTTTTAAATGGTACCTTGACAACGTGTACCCAGAAAAGTTCATACCAGATGAAAATGTACACTCTTGGGGAATGGTAGGTCTTCACCTCAGATTGAGGTGTATGTTCAAGTCAGATAAAGGAATTTTTTTTATTTTGCGGATAAAGATGAAAAGTCAGGAGTCATGTTGCACAATCTTAGTCTAAGGATGAGAAGCATTGTGGTATTTATCAGTAGAGCTTTGGCCTACACATCCTTAGGTGAAGATCTACGGCGTGTGGTTCAAGGCTTCCTACCCCAGATGGTTTGTATTTCTGAGGAAACTGAGAAACAGACCAGATTGTGATGACATGATTTTGTCCTTGGGTAAAACTCTTTACCCATAATGCATCGGATGGCAAGTGATGGGCTTCCCATTATTTTGTTCAATGAGGTAGCCACCAGCTACTTCAAGGAGACCTTGTCTCAAAATGACCTTGAATGCTGTTCAAGGGACAATATACCCAGCATGCAAACATACATATGGTATACTTCAGATTAAACTCAATCATAAAGACCTTAAGGATATGAGAGTGAGTCCTTGTTTAATTAACACAGTCCTTTGCTAACCCTCAGAGAATATATGTACAAGTATGTTGTAATTTTTACAGGTGAGAAATCCAGGTAGTAATCTTTGTTTAGACACCTTGGGAAAGGATGAGAAGGTGACATTTGATGTGGGATTGTTCAGCTGTCAGAATGGTGCTAGTGCTAGCGAGGTATGTATGCTTCCTCTTTCTCATCTCCATTTCACTGAGCACAATAATAAAAGTATTTGTTAGACATTAAAAATAATGTTTTTACTGATGGTATTCCGATTGATAAAATTTGTCAACATTTGATTACTTATTGACTGTAATTAATTCATGAGTAATAAACTTCATTAATTATTTTCCTTATATCTCCATCATGTGTCAGAAATAGACAAATGACACCAGATTTCAGTTTGGATACAATATTATGATAAGATTCTTTTTTGCAGAGTTTAATTTCTCAGTGTCATAAACTAGTTAATTAGGTTGTGGTGAATATGAACAAATTCTGCACTTCCTACCTAGGTGTATGTACTGTAAATAATTAATGGTCAATCATTTTGCTGAAAGATTGACTGATCTTGGTTTTTGAAAGTTATTCTTAGCCTTAGACTGACCTTGGTGTTAGGAAATGAATTTAAGAATCAGTTTTTAGAGTTTGAAATGTTTTTTACCTGCTGCATTAGGTATTTTCTTTGAGTATGGATAATGAGCTGCGTAGGGAGGAAGGATGTATGACATACCACGGACAGACAGGAGGTCACCCACAGCTTGTTAACTGTAATGGTGCCGCTAGCCAGAAGTGGAAACATGACAAGGTAAATGTTACAGATCTTTAAAGTTTGAAGACACTCTGTAAAGGGTCACAAACAGCTGAGAAATAGAAAATGCATATTGTCTGCTATAACTTATGACCTCTCCTTCACTGAAGCATTAAAATCCTAACATAAGTAGAACTTCCCGCTAGCTAATGCTAATAAGACCTGCAATTTCAACATTTACGACTGTCTTCTTACAGTCTTTACACAATAAATTAATATAGTTTTGAAAAATGCAAAACATTCTTCAAATACCTGTACTACCATATTTATTACAAATAAGCTTTCCCCCACGTACTAGTGGTAAAAGTTGGAAACGGTTAAACTTTAACCACTAATTTCTGTCCTTGGACATATATCATCCTACAAGGCTAAAGGGAAAGTATCTGACCAGACTAGTACTGGTCTGAAAATCAGACTAGAGGTTGTCTGGTGGCACCTAGGTGTCCAGGGTTTGATTTCCAGAAGGGATATGAAAAGATATGGGACTACCTACCTGGCAATGTTGGTCTTCTATCGATTCTCCAATTCCTTCTCCAGTAAGACCCCTCACACTTCCATTGGGGTCAACAAGATTGATAAATATAAGCTGGAATAACTTTTTTCACAATTGTTTTAAAATAAATCAAGTTTGATTTTGAAGGATCACTGTTCCAAATTTTTACATAAGATTGTCTGTTGTAGAACACTGGCACCATCATCCACACACAGTCTGGACTGTGTCTAGACCGTGATAAAGTAGAATCTGGAGGATATAGTTTAGTGATGACCTGTACACCCAACAAAGACTCTCAGAAGTGGACCTTTGAGCACTACCTTGATGTTTAACCTGACCTTGACCTTTAACCTGACCTCTGGTCTGACTTTGGCACAATTGTACAGGAAGCAGGAATTTTTGGATATAACCTTCTCAGCTATTCAGCAAGCTTTTGAAGACTGTTAAACATTGTGTAGTAAATCATTAATGAAGAAAGGCTGGAACAGCAGTACTGCTGGCAGGAACCTGTGATTGGCCTTCGCAGTTCAACAGTACATTATCACAAATCTTAAATGTTCAAAATGTAATGGTCTGTCATTGTTTGGCCTTTACTATTGTAATACTTACATATCAAAGTAAATATTCTTGTTGAATCTTTTTTTCTCACCATTTCCAGTAAAGCAAAAAATGTTTTTACAAAGTATATCATGTATCTGTGTTTTAAAACTTTTGTTATGTATTAATATCTTGTGGTTTTTGACATTTTTAACAAATCCAGAAATGAAAATATTTGTAGATATAACTTTCTTAAGGTTTGGAATGGTCTTTGATAGACTTTTCATCAATAATAAATGATGGTGCCCATCTGTGCAATTTTTAATAAACAATCATAGTACATGTTGGGCACCTGCCTTTTTGTAATTAATGTAAATTATCATAAAAATTAAAAAAGATTTAGTGCAATGTAACTGTATTTTCAACTATGCAAATATTTTTAAATCCTTTACATAAAAATACTTGTAGATATTGTTTATTGTTTTCACTCAAGTTTATACATACTAATAGACCATACCGTCTTGTAATCTTGAAATAAATTTCAAACAGTAACCAAAAAAGTACAGATAATTTCACTAGAAACTGCCATTTCAAATTGAATTATTCACCAGAAATGGTCTTTTTGAGTTATGAATCATTCCATTATGTGGTGATAAAACAGAATTCTTTATAATCACATAAATATTGAATATACATGTAATTAGATTGGTGCATCTAGAGTTAAAACATTATTAACTTGTAAATACAGAATCTCCAGGTACGCAGACGAAACTTATACGCAATCCTGTATCAAGTAAAATTGTTAAAAGAAAATCAATTTTATATTTTACATGTATTTATATTTCAAAACCTGTATAAGTTTCGTTTAGGTGTTTATTTTTTATTCAAAGAAAATTGATGTTTAATTGTATCATAATAATAGTGTTTATGTTGTTTATTTTTGTACTTGTAACAGAATTAGTGTTTTGTACTAGTAACAGTTACCAGGTTTTCAGGTCATCCTGAAATTGGTCATATCATGACCGGCTCAAATTACAGAAAATTGGTCATATCATGACCGGCTCAAATTACAGAAAATGTTGGAATCACCTGATATTTCTTTACTTTGATAGTAATTTTTAAAATTTCAAAATTAATTTGTGGATATAAATACTGTCAAAATAATGTTGAAACTTAATGAAAAATCTGTGAATACATACAGATGTGATAACTATACAATAGAATTGATCATAATGTCTTTTTTATGACGAAACTTCAGAACATCTTGTTAGCCTTGATTTTGAAGGTCTATACCAAATATTAGCTGACTAAGATGTTAGTAACACCGAGTTATATAACTAATAGAAATGTGAGAGATTTGAACGCATATCATTGTAGTGTTCCTGTCTCATATAGTTATAGACATAACATTTAGAGAGATAAAAATGAAAAAAAAATAATATATAAATGCAGTATTATTTAATGGCCTGTGTGTAGTTTTGTAAAATGTACTGAAAATATAGCAAATTATATAGCAGTTAATTGAAGCTACACATATTTTTGAATGGTGTATTCATATTTGTACCAATTTACTACTGTAAGTAATTCTCGTATCAGACTATCCTTCTGAAATTACCTGTGATTCTCAATGTTGTGATAGATTTGTAGTGCTTACATATCTCTGGTCAAGTTTTTGTAAAATGAAGGGGTTTAAGCATTTTGTGACACCCAACAATAAATAAGATAAAACTCACTGTAGACACAGACCAAGGATGGTTCTCCGGCCTTAAGGTCAACCCTCCCTCCTCATCCTCATACCATTTTCCATCCAGGATATCAGGGAAACTTAAGTATTTAAGTCCATCTTGTGTATATATATATCACAAATTAGTTTCTAAAACTCATCTTGTGTATATATATATCACAAATTAGTTTCTAAAACTCATCTTGTGTAATGTTACTCACATGTGGGTGTTTTCATCATCCATAATTTTAACATCATCAGTTAAATGATATACATTATTGCAAAGCGTGATTTTCACATTTACAAATGTTTTTTCTCTAGGATTTAAATACATGAAATAAGCAATACAAATCTTATTTCTCTCTTTTTTTTCTTAGTAGACATTTGTCAGACATTTCACTTCAGACCAAACTTTATTGCAAATCAATTACATAAAAATAAATAAATAAATAAGTATCTGGTAAATGATAGCAAAAAGCTGATACAGTAAAACCAAAAACATGTTGTTTCTCTGTGAAGCATTAAGCTGATACAGTAAAACCAAAAACATGTTGTTTCTCTGTGAAGCATTAAGCTGATACAGTAAAACCAAAAACATGTTGTTTCTCTGTGAAGCATTAAGCTGATACAGTAAAACCAAAAACATGTTGTTCTCTGTGAAGCATTAAGCTGATACAGTAAAACCAAAAACATGTTGTTTCTCTGTGAAGCATTAAGCTGATACAGTAAAACCAAAAACATGTTGTTCTCTGTGAAGCATTAAGCTGATACAGTAAAACCAAAAACATGTTGTTTCTCTGTGAAGCATTAAGCTGATACAGTAAAACCAAAAACATGTTGTTTCTCTGTGAAGCATTAAGCTGATACAGTAAAACCAAAAACATGTTGTTTCTCTGTGAAGCATTAAGCTGATACAGTAAAACCAAAAACATGTTGTTTCTCTGTGAAGCATTAGAATTAACTTATTTAACTATATCATTGCATTCCTATTTCTCAGAGAAAATTAGGATATCATTCTTTAAATAAAGAAAAAGTATGATGTCAATGTTTGTGTAATAATCTCCAAATTTTGAAACACTGAAAGATAAGGCTACATGCTTCCCTATGAGATTGTGTGCTTCAGTGTCAAAAAAGGTTTACAAAAAGAAAAGAACAGGTTTTATAATAGTGTGTTTTTATCATTGTTATGTTTTGAAAGGTTCAAGTATTACATTCATTGAAGACGTTTTTAAAATAAAGCAAGAAATCATTAACAATTAAGTATTTAATAAAGGGAAACAACTGTGTTACGATTAAAATTATATCTCATGTACAGCTATACTTATTAAGATGTTCGTTTTTGGCTTGAGGTTACTAGAGAGTTCACAAGACATTTTGAAACTCATTTTTCATTCATACTTGATATTGGGAAAGTTGCAATAATGTATAGTTTAGGCTTTCAATATAGAATCAGTCCTGGAGACTTTTGACTTATTAACAATTCAGAGCTACCAATTAATCCTTAGTGTTCCTTTTTCACATTCTTAAACTTTACCTCTGCTTAATGTGTTGTAGTTTTTTTTTTTTCTTAGAAATTATATTGAAAATATTTAGCATCTTCAAATATATTTCTTTAACACCAATAAAATCCAGATCACCCATTTAATTGATTTTACTTGATTTATCAATTTAAAAACAAATGTGTCTAGTTCAGGTCAGAATTTCCAGATATTGCATCAAAGAATTTACATATCTTAATGGAAATTCAGATTTACACCTTGTCATGTATTGATAGTCAATTTAAGGTAAATTTCACAGAAGATACTTCTGTACCTGGTCTGTTGACCTTTACACTCCCAATACAGTTTACAGTCATGTGTCTGAACTCATACAATCACATTTCAAGATTCTGATGCTCATTAGCAATGTATTACATGTTGAGGCTACTTTTTAAGCGCGTGAAGGGTCTTACTGTGGGTCTCCTAGAAAGCCCATGTGGTCAGGCAGATGACTTGTAACGTTATCTGGATGGAAGGGGAGTTTTTTATCCAGTGTTCAATTTCACCTTCATGAAAATACAATGTAAATGAAACCATTCCTTTTTTTCTAAACTCCAATGAATGAATGAATTTACTAAAACAGCTGCACAGATCTGGCTAAAACATTGAATTATATACATTTATTTACATCTGCTAGCCTGAATTTTGATGTATAATGTTCAGGCAGTAAGTGCTAGAAAAATCTAGATCTAATAGTTATCTGTCTATCATAGCAGGGTTTTCAGTGTTATTGGAAAAAAAAATGAGACATTTTCTTTCAACAGAAATATTGATCAATAATTGAAAGGCAACCTGTGATTTGATATGTGTACTGCTGAAGTTTATCAACTAAATAATTTACTTACAAGAAGACCTTGTCAACAACATATCTGAGGGATTGTAATTATGGGTCTGTATATTACATTTTCACACACATATTATTTATAACTGTAACATAAACCAGAGAATTTCTTGTAAAGTTGTCAGTCATACTTGTGTAACTAAGGTCATTATTTATTCTAATGCCTCTGTGCAGGTTTGAACCCTCTTGCTTAGGCTTATGCTCAACTGAAGAGATAATCTCCATAGCCGAGTGGTACATTGCAGCTAGGATCTACCAGTGTTACACATGTGTTAAGGAAGAATTTTATCTACACATGTAAATTTTCACATTTATTTGTTCATAATTGTAAATGTAAAATACATGATGTATTTATACACCTGCTTATCATGCTTGTATTTATATTTGAGGGGTATATCCTGTAAAGGTTGATCACATTATTTATCATGTTTATATTCTATGACCATGTGTACATATAGTCACTTTGTCACATGTAATCACGAGATGTCTGATGTGGACCTACAACGGTCAGTATAAGTTGACGGCTTGTGTTGATTTGTTGAGTGTTTCTATCATTTACTTGTTGGATGTTACTTGTCAGTGCTAATTTATTGGTTTTGTGTTCATGCATGTAAATTCTTGGATGTAGTTGAGTTTACCCTGTCTCAGATTTACATGTTCAAATTAAAGCAATATGTTTGTTTGAAAATTGAAAAAATTGTGTATAACACC